ACAGCTCTTTTTCTCAGATATTTTATGAATTGTATTGTTTACGATCTTCCAAAAGTTTTGTGCCTTTAATAAAATGACCTTTAGCGATAAATGACTAAAAGTAACATAGGCTGCAGAACATTTCTCTTTTTCATAACGCGATTTTCCACAAAATTTATATGATTTTTGCTGATAGCGTATGTAAAGATAGCTCTTTTTTAGTACAGAATGTATCCCAGAATATATGAACAATACTGATAAAAGTTATTTATTGATTAGAAGCAAAAGAATGAAATAATAACTAAAAGTATTAGAACCTGGAATGTCTTTCTTAAAACATTTAAAATATAAAAATCTATTGTGAGGTACTGTACAATTTTCAGTCTGGCTGAATAAAATGATTGAAAAATTAACATCTTACTATTAGTTTCAGCTATTATCATTGGATAAAATAACAATGTATCTTGGTTCATTGATCCACAAATGTGACCGTACAGATTATCTATACTATTATATGTTAAACGAGACATATGCAAATGTAATTTATTTATCGATTTTGGAAAAGTTACAATTACAGGACCGAATATGCTCTTTTCATCTTCTTTAATTATTGGAGATATTGAATATTTTACATCGTAAAGTGACCACTTTTTAGTGGATGATTTACACTTAAAAATACCTCTAATATTCCTTCCATATAATGCAAAAATTATCAAAATATAATGAACATATATACGCATTTTCATTATTGTTGAACAAATGAAAACTTGCGTTAAATTATGTTTAAGTAAATTTAAATGAAACTTAATAGTTGTTTCAAATTACGCTCTTAATGTAACTTTTAATGGATTTATGACTGTATAATGAGAGTAATACGAACTAAAAGAATACTACAGGAAGAGATCTATTCAGAGTAGCAAATTGAAAGCCTTATACAATATACAGTATGTATATGCATGTAAAAACTGTACTGTATATAAGATAGATAGGTATATGTCCTATAAAATTTATTGTATTATAAATGATCATTGACTGACAGAATTTCAATAAAATGATTGAATCATAATATTCATTTTACTAAAGAGAGATAATACAACTTTGTTATATTCCGTAGCATATACACTATAACAAAAAAAAGTCGCAACTGCTGTGGTTTTAATAAATTCAACAGAATTATTAGATAAATCAATAGAAAAATTCTAACAGGAGAGATACAAGCTGTAAAAGAAACATGTGTTTCACTTTTTTTTTCTATTTTACATATGGGTTTATTGTCAAGTCACACAAACTTTTCAACAGGCAAAGGACAGTATAGACTTTTAAATGATAGAAAGTTAAATATCTAAATTTTCTATTAAGAATTATGGACAAAAATACAACGATTGGTTAGTATGATTATCTCATCAGTTATAGGATTTTTGTCAAAAAAATATGATTTATATTTCTTGAAATATTGATTTTAAAACAGGAAATCCATTTGATGAATGGCGGTGCACAAATTCGTTGTGGGTAACTACACTGCTAGGCCTTTATGCAGTAGTTGTCACAATTGGTAAAAAAGTCATGAATAATAGAAAACCATTGCAAATTAAATCTCTTCTTATCATTTACAATATCTTCCTTATTCTTCTCAATTTAATCATCTTTTATAAGATGTCTAAAGAGATTATTATTCTCTTTAAATATTCTGGAGTAAATCTCTTTTGTAAACCATACGAACTTCACCATCCTCTGTATAAAGAAATGCAATTCTGCGTATGGCTTTTCTATATATCTAAGCCAATAGAGTTCCTTGACACGTTGGCTTTTATCGTTCGAAAAAAAGAAAATCACGTCTCATTTCTACACGTCTTTCATCATCTAACAACATTTCTTATTGTTTGGATAGGAATGCATTACTATCCTGATCTAGCTATTCGTATGTCATAACACTCTCTTTTTAGTATAAAAATCTAGTTATCATTTATTCTAACAGTTCTAATACCAGTCGTTCTGAATAGCTTTATACATGTAATTATGTATTTTTATTACGCTATGTCAGTATTAGGAGGTCAGTATAAGAAATATTTATGGTGGAAAAAATATCTAACTGGCCTACAAATGGTAATGTAAAGTTTGAATAGTTGCAAAAATATTAAAACATTGCATTTTAGACTCAATTCTGTTTGATAATTGGCTCAAATGCATTGGCATACATTAGAGGATGTCAACTTCCAAAGAGTCTATATATTTTATACGTTGCTGATATTAGTATACTGTTAATTCTATTTCTAAACTATTACCTCAAAACATACCTGAATTCGACTGTTAAACTGGTAATAAAAAAATAAATACTTGATAAAAAATCTATAGCAAAACGGATAATCAATTATTTTACTAATTTTATTTATTCTTTTACCCCGACAGAACCACAATGGAAATCTTAATGGAATAAAAAATAAAAATATACAGTATAAAGAGAAAAAAAAGAACTAATGGATTTTTTCATCAATTTAAAGCTTTTAATAAAAAATATGTTATAGTTAATAGGGTTTTGTTTTTTCTTGCTTGTTAATAAAGAATAAAACTAACTAATTTTGTTTAGTTATAGACTGTTTGACTATTTTTTTGTTATTGTCTATAAAATTTAAATCATATTGAGTAATATGAAACTTTTTTATGCTTATATATATACATGAGAGTGGTATGTTGTATCTTATTTTATTTTATATAAATATATATATATCTGTGTGTTGTGCTATTCGTAAATTTTCAACATTACAAGAGTTTTAGAATAGTGAATATACTATGTAACCTTATATATCTGGAGTCGTAAATAATAGTTATATGGAGTGTATTGTGATGTAATAAGACCAATTTTCGTCATAAAATTCTTTATAACCGAATTTTTTTTAAGATTAATAAACCAAATAATTTTCATTGAGAGAATTTCATTATGTAAAATATAAGGATAATGCTAATCACGAGAAAAGAATACGTTATTAAATACTTTAGTCCGGTAAAGATTATTCATTATTATCGGAATGACAATCAAATTATAAGGACTTGCTAAGGTTATCATTTGTAAATAATAAAAATATAGCTTTGTGCATATAGCACACTCTGATTACAAAATATAGAACGATAAAGAGCTTCACCCTGTTCTAATAATAATAAAAATGTATTTAATAAATTTTCCGTATTACGATCAATGTATAACATCTATTTAAGATATTTACCCTTTACATATTCTTTTTCCAACAGCCTACAACCCGTATATTTCTAATGAGTAATAAATTCTAGATAATTTACACAATTTTGCTAATAATATAAATATAATTAAAAGAAATTCCAATAGTAGTAAAAGAAAAAGCAACAATACATAAAAATTAATGACAGTTTGTAATATAAGTTTGTAAAGTAAGATATACAACGCATGTAAATTTAACGATGAGAGATTAACGTATTTATTTATACTGTATATTATGTTATGTGACTAACTGAATGATTCAGAAAATTAGAGAAATGAAAAGATCACCTGATTAAGATTTTTTCTGTAATTTTAGATAATTTTTAAAGATCATCAATTTACTGTACAAATTTTCCAATTTAGATTAATAAATAATTATTAATAATTACAGTTATTACTCATAACAAACAAATAATTCTTGTAATATTTTACAGCGGAATGTAATATAATGGTATCGAGTATACATATAAATATATATAACCTATTTTATTGACTCAAATTCAAATACATATAAACTATTACCGAGGGAAAAATGTTTGTTTAGATTATAAATCCCATTCCCTAAATATTTTTCCTTCTTTGTTTTTCTCCAGAAGCATTAAAAGCTTCGAATAATTCCCAAAAGTTTTATATTTGCGTTTTACAAAGTTATAAATTTATTAAAAATTCTGGAAACAATAGCAAAAATAAACGATAAACGATGGTTTATTTATAAAATTCTAAAGCAAGCATTAAAATTCAAAGCTAGTTAGACATATAGTTAAAGTAAATCTTAGTTTTTCTGCCTGTCATACTGGCTTATAGTATAGAACATTGTACGACGAAAATATTGATAGCCATAATATATATGAATGTGAGCATTGGTGGGCCTTCAGTAAAAAAAAAAACAATATTAGACAGACTAGTTGTGTGTGTTCAAAGGCACTTTATCAGTAGAATCATCTGTAGGTGTGTCGAATTTTATATAAGAGTCTCTTTGCTATATCTTTAACTTTTTATATAATTAAATTATCACTTCTACGGAAATAATGGGTGGGAATATAACTTTAGGTAAGTTGCATCTTAAATTTGGATTATTAATGAATTAAATGTCTTCCTTCTTCACAGATAATCCATTTAACGAATGGTCATTTACCGATCCATTATGGGTGGCATTTTTTCTTTTCATTTATTCAATAATTCTTATGGGAGTTCCGAGACTAATGAGCAATCGAAAGCCATTGCAAATTAAATCTCTTCTTATCATTTACAATATCTTCCTTACTCTCCTTAATTTAATCATCTTTTATAAGATGTCTAAAGAGATTATTATTCTCTTTAAATATTCTGGAGTAAATCTCTTTTGTAAACCATACGAACTTCACCATCCTCTGTATAAAGAAATGCAGTTCTGCGTATGGCTTTTCTATATATCTAAGCCAATAGAGTTCCTTGACACGTTGGCTTTTATCGTTCGAAAAAAAGAAAATCATGTCTCATTTCTACACGTCTTTCATCATCTAACAACATTTCTTATTGTTTGGGTAGGAATGCGTTATTATCCCGATCTAGCTATTCGTAAGTTACATTGTATTCTTTCTCAATTAAAGTTTTATCTCACCGACTACCGAAACAGTTTTAATTCCAATTGTTCTGAATAGCTTTGTACACGTGATTATGTATTTTTATTACGGCGTGTCAGTGCTAGGAGCTGAGTATAAGAAATATTTATGGTGGAAAAAATACTTAACTAGACTTCAAATGGTAAGACTATATTTCTATGGCAATAAAAGTACAATTATAGAGAATTTCAGACTCAATTTTGGTTAATAATTGGCTCAAATGCATTGGCATACATGAGAGGATGTCAACTTCCGAAAAGTGTATATATTCTATACGTTGCAGACGTTAGTGTACTGTTTATTCTATTTTTAAACTACTACCTAAAATCGTACTTTGGATTGAAAGATAATTCGGTAAGTAAAGTATTAACTAACCTAATTTTGTAATAGAAATTGCCTATTCAAAAGAAATAATCATAATTCCTATTGGTTATTCTTATTTCATCAGGTTACAAACGGTATAAACAACGGCAGAATTAATAATAAGAATAAATAGAGAGAAAGAGATAGAGAGCCGATAGATTTTATAACTTTTCTTAGGTATTTTTGTTGTCGTATAACATTTATTAGAAAAAAAATACTTTAAATTATCATATTTGATTAAAAGACAAAAAATATGAAAAGTTTGTTACTTTTTGTTTTTTTCCCTAAAATTTCTATATAGTTTAATATAATAGTTTGAAATTTACCTATGAAATATATGAGAAAACAAAAAATATAATAAAAAAGATTACTTTTCGTTATGTACACTCATATTCTGAAATTGATATTATGTTTGTGTTAGCTTTTTAAAAATATAAAGTAGATATTAAGATGCTTATACACTAGCAGTCTCGCAGTATTCTAGGCAATCTGGAACAGGATCTGGATTTTTTGCGCCTTCTAACCAACAGTGAATTCGTCTAATTGTGGCGGCGTCACATTCAGCATCGGTCTCTGCTAAGGATAAATCGTTTAATTCGGAGCTTAAAGGCCAGGTGAAATGTGTGCTATGAACTTCCAAAACGGAATTTGTAGTAATATAGTGTTCTGAGTGACGGCTTTCAGCCTCGGATAAAATTAAAGAGTGGCAGGAAGGTCTCTGTCGCATTCCATGCTTATAGCTTCCATCGTCTGTACAGGAAACGCTACCGGAGGGTGTCCTCCAAGGTAGCTGACTATCTTTGGCGCTACTTAAGGAAGAATTAGCACCTGTGCTTGGCACATCAAAGAGAATTGCTTTTCCGGACCTCAGAGGAGATGTGTCCAAACAAGAGGGCAGGGGGTTCGTTATTTCTTCCAAAGAATAATTGCATTCTACTACTGTTGATCCTTCCGGGTCGGACTGGCAGACAAATGGTAAGTTCGAGCAGAAAATCTGAGATTCGTTTGTGTCGGACATTGTTCTATAAACCGGAGTTTCTTGGTCTACCGTCTCTTTCCACGGAAATCCGGATAGAGGATCCCCGGCACCGGAATTTTCGCTTTTAGTCTTACCTATAAAAAGCAAATATCAAATTTTACAAAACATTAGGCTGATAATAAATAACTAGAGCAAGCTCCTAAACGCTTTTTCAAAGTAACTTAGGGATATCTTTTATTCTAGTCTTGTACAGCTAAATGCTAATCTGTAATGGCCTTTTCTGACGTTGCAGATGTTAAAAATACTTTCTATCTTTCGTGTAGTTCTGTAACTAATTAAATCGGGATGACATAAGTCATGACGAAGCGAAAGAGATGAAAATAACTAACTTCGACCTTGAGAGATGAATTAATAGAGAAACCTTGACATGGATATTTCGAATGAAATCAGATGCTGCATCTGCTCAAGGGTGTTTTCATGGATAGAAAAAAATTTCGAAGCAGTTTGCTATAGATATAGCACAGATAGTATATTACTTTTTTAACCTTGAAGCTTTTGAATATTGCAAAAAATAGCTACCGCCATAGTTTTACTATCAGATTTAATGAATTTTTATATTAACCATTCTTAATAATAAATAGCGAATGTAAAGATAAAAATAGAAAAAAACTACATTTCGCCATTCATTCAGATTGTTCTAGATAAGGCGCCATCTAGTGACATTTACTACGCAACATAAAATCAATCTCGTCTTCTACCTCACCACCTTATTTCTTACAATATTTTTTGCCTCTTTTTTTCTTTCTATCTCTCTTTTCTTTGCTATTCTTATCCTCGACTCTTTTACTTCTTTGAAAATAGTTTTATGGTTAATACTTACGCTTAGAAACTTTCTTCCTCAGTATATACCCATGGATTCTTTTATGCATAATTGCACATCTTCTTAGGCGTCTTTTTAATTTTGAATTGGGCCATTTCCATTTTGAATTGGCTAATTTTTCTATTTGTTTACTCTGTTCATTTTCGCCCACTTGTAACGTCGACATCCCAATGCATAATTGAGCGCTGATCTCGCTTTCGATGTTCCCTCTGGATATTGAAAATATATATAGATATATATAAAATATAGGTATATACCGTATATGGCTAGAATCTTTACAAATCTATATGTATTAGAAAGAGATAGGATATTATTATGAAAAGCACTATTGTGATTTTAAGGTATTCTAAAAAGAAAAATCGTGGCTGTTCGTAAAATATTCTCTACGTTGTAAACAAAAAAAAAAATACTCTCTTATCAGCTATTTTTCAAATGCCAATATTGGGGTTTTTTCTTTCAATTATATTTAAAAGAATAAAAAGGATAGTTGAAAATATGAAAGAAAGAATAAAAAGAGGCTTACGTTTTATAAGAAGGATGTGCTACGTTGAATTTTCGCTTACACAAGCCATTAATTGAAGTTTCTGGGCAGTTGAGTGTTTTGATATGATTAGGAAAATGAAGAATCTGTGTGGGGAACACAGAATGAAATAAAAGAAAAATATTAAAAAGAACTTATTTATTAAACTAATTTAAATATTCACGTATGTTTTCTTTTCTTTTCTTTTTAATGAAAGGTAAAACTTCTGTCTCTTTTCTATTTCTTTAAGAGAAGAAGAAATATTTACCCTGTTTTTATTCTGAGCCATTTCATTGCATTTTAAGACAGGTCTTCCTTGAGCTCTCCTCGGACGGATATATATAGCACCCTAAAAATTGCAAGATATTAATATACAGTATATATACTAATAAATATATATATATGTATACATAGATATAACGGTTTTCCGCTTTCTAACAGAGGAGGTAGAAAAAAGATGGAACTTGGTATCGTTTTTCAACTAGGTGTGTATATTACTATATTTAGTTTTTGCTTTGGATCTATTTTTTAAAGTTTACAGTATCTAAGTGTCTCAATATTATGAAAGAAATAAACAATAAATAGGATCACGTGACTATAACGCCACCGCAAAATTCAACGTGTCAGACAGGCTTGGTGTGACGTCACATGCAAATCAATTCTCTCTAGTGACGCAATTCAGTATTTTTATAGAACTTGTTCCATTTGCAGTTTGATAATTTATAAAGCTTCAGAAAGAGATCCGAAGGAATCTCCATTGAAAGATACAGGTAAAAAAAAGACACATTTAGTACAATAGTAAAATGGTGTCAATGTCCTAAATAAAACATTTTGGGGGAGCGAGAGAGGAGGGGAGGGGGGTATTCACGAAAGTGACATAATCCATTAATGAGGACAGACACGTGGTTTATTCAAAACAATTTTTTTAATGTTAGTTTTAAATATTCTACAAGCATGATACATTTAGAGTTTTTTTTTAACGCTTGGTTAAAAGGTAATAGTCGAATATTTTCGTACTATTCCATAAAAACAAGAATGTTTAAAAATAAATAAAAGAAAAGTAGGACTGCGAATAAAAGATTGATTAGTAGGATACTAAAGACATAAACAAGATTCTTTAAATAACCTATTAAATGAAAAGCTAAACATCCTATACTATTAATCTCCAACTTATTTTTAATAATAATTAAGAAAAACGGATTAAAGGATAATACAATAATACATTAATAAAATATTCCATATATTTTCTATGTTTTTTATCGTTCACTGTCTTGCTGATAGCAGCAAAAATATCTTCCTTATTTTTCTTTTAATCAGTCCTAAACTACTTCAAACTGCCAAAAGCACTTCCTCAAAGTTATCAGCTATAGTTTTTATACTATTACTCAAAACACACATTGACAGATTATATGAATAAAAAGATGACTTAGTCATTCAAAACTCCCATAATTACTCTTTAATTCTTATATAAAATGCATTCTGATTAATGAATGACTAAGAAAAGTAATGCTTTTGATAGAGTATACTCTGCTTTTGTTCTTTTCCTTCATTTTTCTTATATTCTCTATATTTTCATTCTCATTCTTTCATTTATTTCTTTTTTAATACTACATTATCTATTTTCTCTATACAAAGGTTGTATAAAAGAGTATTGGGGTGAACAAGTTACATTTCGATTATTACAATTAAATATAAGAAAGCTATTTATTCAATAAAGAGAAAATAGCAATAGGATGGTGAAGAGAAAAAGTGCATACAGAAAGTAGAAAAAGCTGAAAGGGCTGAATAGATAACTTGTAAAATTTTACGCTACCTCTATAGTTTCTTAAATGAAAATTTCCCACATAGCATAGTAATTAATTAAATAATAGAATTAAATTATTCCAGGAAAAACAACAGTTATTTTTTATAAGAGATATTTACATAAAATATTTCGGTTGTTTCGTTTATAGTGATAAGCTTTGTGTATGACTCATGTAAATCAATATATGAAAACTATGAACATAGCAAAATCTTTACTAGACTATAGCTCCTCAAATAATTGTTCCTTTACTCCCTAACATTCCTCTTTTTATACATACTTAATCGAACTATATATTTAGCTTTTCTTATGTTATAAATAGTGAACAATTACACAGAATAGATCCATTTCCATGTGAACATCTTTCAAATAAAAAAAAACACTACAGTAGAGAAACCCTGCGTTGGCGGTATAGTAGCCAATTTAGCTTTATAATTATCATATTGGTTGATAAATTTATAATTTCTCTCATTCTTTTGAATGATCAATTAGTAAATAAAAAATTCTTACTTGATTAGTGAAATGTAGAGTATTTTTCTGCCGTTTTTTGCAGCGTAAGGCTGCAATCATGCCAGAAGACTGACAAAGGCGTTAGTATTTTCGAGGGTGGCGCCACCTGTTGGTGACATTATGAAATACAAAGGCCTGTAAGAGCTATATATTTTCACAGTATAAACGTTAGAATATATACTGCATATATATATAAATATATATATATATTTTCCTTAATCCATACACTGTATTTGGATGTATATGCTAAAAATATATAACACATGTGTATGTCAAAATATATAGTCTATGTCAGTCTAAAGATATATATAACTGTATTCCAATATATTGTATAGTATACTTTATAGCCAATATTCAATATATATATATATATGTATTTTACTAATGGTTTATACTATATATACTGTATATATCCTTTATATCTCTTTATACGTAATCCAAATAGTTATAGTCAATTCTATACAACGTACATATCTATATAGAGTATATAATTTATAAATGCTAGTACTGCGATATTTCTGTGATTATAATATTTATCTGGATTTTTGTGGCGGAAGTTTTCTTTAGAATCAATACGTTCTGTGCAAATAATTGAGATTTCTCAGAAATATTTCCATAGTTGTTATGTATAAGGTTTTTCGTTTCAAAGTGAAAGGACAGTATGATGAGTTAATTTTCGTCTCTTATTAAATTACAAACAGTATTAATTAGTTTAAGTTGTATTTCCTTTTCTGTAACTCTCTTGGTTTTTGCTTCTCTCTCTATAAGTTTCTCTACATCTTCGTATCTTCACCAGAATACAATATGTATTTGTGTACATACCGTAAGTAACAGAGTCAATGTTCGGTTAAAAAGTTCATGTTGTATTTTTAGAATTAAAAAAGAAGATTCTATTTATTCTATTCAATTGAATTCCAGCATTTAATCATTGAATGTGCTAATAAAAGAAGCTAATGTGAATACCTAAAACCAATCATTAATTCAATGATAATGAATTTGTTTGAAAAATTATCTATATTTCGCACTTTCCCATATATTCCCTATCTGTTTTTTGGTCATATTTTATGTTACGAATTAGTGCTATTGATTGCTTTTAATGTAGAAACTGACGGGAAAAGGTTGCCTTTAAAAATATGACGTAGTTGTTTTAAGTCAAATAATTATATATAATATGCCAATTGCTTATAACCTTTATCTCTGGAGAGATGTGAGATTCTTTTTTATATATAACTTTTAGCCTTGAAAAGGCAAAAGACTTTCAAAAGTTCGTCTATCTTTGATCGGAAAAACATTAAAAGAATACACTTAAGAATTATAAATAGGACTTTAAAACGACATCTATCGTTTATAAAGAATTATAGACACTATAGATAGAAGTAAATTTATTTATGTCGGTCATAAGTTATGTAACTAGTAACCTTGACAAGATCAGTATAAAAAATATATACTCCTTTCTCTCTCTCTCTCTCGTCCACCTTTTTACTTTAATCCAAAGTATACAATGCGTTTATAAATACCACACTTTAAATGATAAAGTTTGCAATATGGTATTTATGAATTTTTAGAAATTCGGTCAAGGTCTTTATTACATGATATATTTATATATATATAAATAATGTTAATTAATTACTTTAGCAGTTTTATTTCTTATCATAGAATGATTAATTATAAATGTAAAGTAACAATTAAATGCAAGAAATGATATGTTTATAATTAGAAAAAAGTACCAGTTCACTTGACTACATGTTTGCGTGATCATTAAAATTAGAAACCTTTGAATAACATAAAGATAGACGAGGCATATCATGAATAGGATGGGAAAGGAAGAGAGGCAGAGAAAGAGAAAAGGAAGGGGGAGTTAATGAATTAAATTGGGAAAAACATATATGAAAAGTTAATGTATTAATAAATTCTTGTTCTTGTATTAAGGGAAGAATGTTTGAGGAAAAGAAAGATGCTATTGAATTGTCACAGAGACAATTAAATTTATTTATTTACACTTTAAGTTTGAGATGTTTATTTCATACATTTAAAGTACATCCTATTTTTATCTATATATACTTTTACTTTATATAATGAAAACAAAGGAAAACTATTACGCAATCTCTTTAATCTTTCTTAACTAAATTAGAAAAATCAATACTTGTTGCTTCGGAATATCTCTCTTACGTGCCTGTAAATTGTTAAAGTATGTAAACTGATCAGACTTAAAGTCTGCCTTTCACAAAATGTTAAAATTCAAAGTCCTTGACCTTGGGTTTTTATTATTGAACAGTTTATTATTCAGTACTTTCGATATATAATATTTATATTTTATTATGAACGTAGTAAAGGCCAAAACACATAAAAACCAAATATTAAAAATATACGTCGTTTTGAGGCTTTAAATAATTTTTCAAAGTTTTACTATTTAAATTAATCTTTAAAAAACTCTACTAAGAATAAAACGAAATCAAGAAGATTTACGTTATCTGATTCATTGTATTTTGTCAGTTTTAATAGTCTCTGGTTAACGTTGAAGTGGGAAAAAGATTTTATCGTTACAAGAGAATCCTACTTCGTGTAAGCCATATTGATAGAAAATGGAAAAATATCTAATTTTTACGTATGGAAGTTTACTAAAAGGTTGCACAAATAACAGACTTTTAGAAAACGGAAATTTTGGTTCAGTTTCGTTTATTGGGGAAGCAAAATCAGTTAGAAAATTTCCATTTGTAATATCGTCATTTTACAATATTCCAGCCGTACTGAATAAACCTGGTTGTGGAAATGTAAGTACTACTCTTTCTCATTATTTTGCTTTATCAAACGTTAGATCTTATAAACTGTTTTTAAGAAACAAAGAAGGTATGTTTCTGATAGAAGAGGTAGGAAGAGAGAGAGAGAGAGAGAAAGAGAGAGAGAGCAAGAGCGAGAGAGAGACAGATAGACAGACAAAAACTAAAGACTTCAACATACTTTTGTATTTCCCTTGAGAGAATTTACATTAAAGCGAAGCTTTTTAAATGGATTTGCTTCGACTTTCAATACTAATACTTTACCTTTTTTCCGCAAACCACAGCATTGAATATATTATTTCCAATTTAAATACTTTCCTAATCTATAAATCTGTTAAAAATATTCTACAATTTGTTATATTTAAACAAATAGAGACCGCGTGAACTAAAAGTATAAGAATAAATAATGTACCCAGGTCTAGTTCTGTAGAAACAGTTTTTTTTGATTCCATTTAAACCCTACCCCTATACTTTTCTAATGCAAAAATTTTGACTTGTTTGTTTCATACAAAAGGCTTATCAATGAGGTTTTTCTTTGACTTGAAAATAACTTTTCTTACATATTTTTCCTCTTTCTAGAGAATTAAAGGCGAATTGTATGAAGTTGATCAAAGTGTTTTATTCACTCTGGACGATTTAGAACGACATCCTATATTTTATGAAAGAAGCAAAGAAAAATTTGAAATGACTGATTGCAAAAGAGAAATCGAGGCACAGATCTATTTAGTAAATGATTTCAAAGAAGACCTTTTAAAGTTAAAATTCTATGATAGCTATAAAGTTTATTTAGAAGAAGGGGAACAATTAAAGAGTTTCTTCTTGAGAAATCCATTCTCAACGTACGATCCGAGAACTGATATGATAAACCACTGGACAAACATGTACGTGGCTGTTGGAGGTCCTCCTTATTCTATTGTTTTACCTCAAGGTATCTCTTTAGAAGAATGTGGTGGAACCTATCTGGGGAAGTTCACCTCGAAAGACATATGGAAGATTTTAAAGTGAATTGTTTTTTATTATTTTCAGAATGATAGAACAAAGATGTAATTGTTAAAACTCGAATCAATTTTATCATAAAATCCTACTAAAACTATAATAAAATAATCCAACTTCTTTATACCTTTTTATAAAATGTTTATATCCGTATTTTAATTAATTCATAATTCATATTTCTAGAATTGATGAAAGCAGCTTTTTTACATGGAATTCCGTTAAGAAAATTTCTCACCATGATAAAGAAGCTGATATAACCACATTGAGTTATCTTGATGATGTAACCGCCTATACACATATAATTGGTGGCCTTTGGGCCCTAGATGTTACATTATTGGAGAAAATCGATAAGAAATTTGGATTCGGAAAAGTATCGAGAAGGGATAGGTTGAGAGGTTTCCTGGAAACAAATTATGGTGAGAAAAAGCTTATTACCACTCAAATTTACGTTCTCAATGCAAATGTGGTTTTGGACGTAACGAGCAGCAATATAGCTTCGTTAACAAATACATATTCTTCCAAAAACTTACAGAGGTATTCATTTATTCTAATTTATCATTTTCTACTTATATACGCATTCAATGTATATATTTACTTTTATCCTACTATTTATAGCCATGAAGAAGTTATTAAGAAAATAGCTAACAACGAATAATAATATTACACAATGAAAGAACTATAAGATTTTTGTTAAAAACTATATATTGCCTGATTAAATTATAAAAAAAATTGATGTTATTGCCTTCTTCTTTTCGCTCTTGTTGACATACACTACGGCTTGTGACACCTACAGTATAAGTATGAAACTAAAGTAATTTTGATGCAAAGAATAAGAATTATTTGATACTAGAGGAGAAAATATAAAGCAATAGAATTAGATTTATTTTAATATGGATCTGTGGAAAAACTGAAAGTTGATGTAAATGAATCTTTACAATATTTTTGAGGTTTATTAATACTTTTACATATCATTTGCATTCATTGATTTTCTCAGCTACCAATACTAATACTATAAGGTATACTTTCATCATCAATAAATAGATATTGTGCCATCAAACGACAAAGTCTACTCAACAGGACTATAGATGAATGTATTAAGTTGTTACGTTAACTATTTAATCATATTTCCTTATAATTTATTGTTAAAATGAAAGATATGATTTAATGAGAAAATTTAAAGAATATTGTGTAATCTGAAACGACATTAAATATCTGACAGAAACTGTACGTAGGGATTACTTAAAAAATCTATACTATTTCTCGTCCTAAAAATGTGTCAACAGTGAAATTCGTAGTATCTGAATTTAGATGAAACTATTTCGTTAGTGTATTGATGAATATCGTCAAATTTTTCTCTCACTTACTCTTTTTCAGTCCAATCTAATCAAAAGAAAAATATTTTTTTGCCTCGATAGTATAGATTGAATAGAATGAATTAATCCGGCTTGTTTTTCTTCTAGAATTTCTTCCTCTCACTCAATGATTCGATCTATGTTACTATCCCCGCTTTCAATTCATAATTAACACAAACAACAACAGAAAGCACAAAAGACAGAAAAACTATTATTTACTTATAGTAATTATTCTTTTTTAAACTCTTTGTTAATGATACTAATGAATGGGCATTCTACAAAGTAATACAAGTCGTTAACAGCTGATTTTCATTCAGCTAGGCGGAGCAATAGTAATTATTTGGTTCGAATGGTAAAAGTTTCATTAAACATCCAAGATAGTTAACGATAAACAAACTAAATTTACATGCATACTGCCTGTAAATCCAAAATTTAAATATAGACTTTTGAATGTATATTTATCTACTTTGAGTGAAATAATATGAGTCGTTTTACAGTTAAATTAACGACTTTGGATATTAAGTAAGGTTAAAATGAAGAACACTTACGTTTGGCATTTAATTTTATGTTTGTATAATGTCACATAAGCGTAAAGTAATATTAAGTTTATAATTTTGTTACAAGTGGTAGTTTCTTAAAACGAAGGAATTCAATTTACACATATAATAAAATATCTATAATGTACTGAATATAAGTTTTGTTTAACAGCAGCAAAAGTCTTTGATAAAGAACAAACAAATAGAATGAGCAGTTTTTATTTATATTACTAAGTACAATTTTATCCTAATAATTGTTATTTAACATGCGAAAATAAAAAGAGATTACAGATACTCTTTATTTAAAAAGAAAAATACTTATGAAATAGATGAACCAGTGTCATTCATCAATTTAATTAAGTATATTGCTCCGTCATTTGTCTAGAAAAAGGAAGAATGTATTCTTCAAAGTTAATTTAAATATTTTTTAACTTACAATTCGACGAAATTAAAACAGCAGAAATTTCCTTGTAAAAAAGGATAAGTATGTTAATGAATTTTAGATTTGCTTGGTCAACGAAGTGTGCAAGATGTCACGATCGTGATACTTGCGACGAACAGCAATATAGACAAATGATCTGATTAAATTTCATCTATCCTAATGATCTGACAAACTTATGATGAATTATTATATTCAATAGTTAAACCTTGTTGAAGCACAGATATAGATGAAGATGAATATTTCATTAATCAAATCCGAAATATATATATATATATATATATATGTATATTAGTGTATACATACTGTATATAGCTTTTGTTAATGTATTTGTGTTACAACTTTTCTAAATATTCAAGGACTACACTCCTTTTATAGCAGTAGGAAAATTAGATTAATAAGAGAATATTCTCTCTTAAGATGTCATTAAGAAAAAAAGATTTTCTCTTTTGTATGCTGGAAACAGAAGTGACACCTATCGAGAATCTTAGAGCACTGAAATCATTTGCCTATCTGAAAGTTCACTGCTGCACTTATCAAGGGAAAATGTCTCTGAATATTTCTTTTCTGAATATTTCTATGCTGAACGAAAGTCATGGAAATTGTTCAAAAAGTAACTATGAACAGTATCATTTACCTGTAAGTACTTTTAAAACTCTTACAATTGACAAGAACACTTTGAAAGTGTGGTGTTTTTCATTTCTGCTAGGAATTCGATATAATATTTATCCTTTTGATTTTTTCAATTCATAATTTCTTTCATATCTTGCATCTCCCATAGAAAAGTACCGGTTGTCTTCTTTATATATACTTTCTTTAAGATGGGAGAGTATTTGATACTCTTATGTTTAGTGCAACAAAACTAGACATATCTAACAACTAAGCTTTATTGTACCTTATGGAAAAAATTACATTGAAAAGGCTAGTAGTAAAAAGAGATGGCGGTAATCATAAGTTTTTCTTATTTTTTTTTTTTTCAAATTTCTTCATATTTATAAAAACTTTTGAAAGAAAACAAAAATTTACCTTCATATTTCCAAAACCATTATCTAAATTACTTGCGGCATTTATTATATATACTGGCTGGAAGAAAAGCAGAGGCAGCTTTGGATTACGCATCACGTTTTGCAACAAAAATCAAAAGAGTTATATAAGCAATTACATACAAAACATATATTCAAGCAATTTATATGAAAGGCGTAATTTAATTAAGTAGCAATTAAGTTACCTCTTTATTGGCTAAAAAGAAAGAATATTGATATATGATATATAGAGAGTAATAGTGATACATGATATTGTACAAAAACATATCATGGTGTACATAAACAAGATATATAAATTTATATATGTATATTTACCATTAACTTATAAATAATGAACAATATTTTAAAATTTCGTTCAATTTTAAGATATATATATATATATATTTACTGTATATATATACACACACACGCTCATACAAACATTCACACTTACTCACGTATACACAGACATATATATATACTTGTCTTCTTTAATGGGCTAAATTCGTCAGAGAAGGAAACGCTAGACTCTGAATAAAACAAAAAACTCAGCTAGACTCTTCCGTTTGCAGCAAATTGTGTGTTAGGAGCTACGCCTTCAATGTTCTTATTTTCACAAACTTACTTTTAATTATTTAAGGTAAATTTTGCTCTAATTAGGTAGAAAAAAACGTAAATAGCCTTAACTTTGTCTCTTTAACAGGTACTAATGCTAAGTTTAAAGGCTTATTCTAAAATATATTTCTTTTATTATATTCTTTATCGTCCTCCTTTCTTTCTATTTAGAATTGATCATGTCAAAATATTTGGTCCAAATATTTTGGACAACTTCAATAGATATAGGATTAAAATTGATTTGTTAACTAAAGCTTTAGGGTAAAGTTACTTGATCGTTGCGAAGACTTGTATCCTTAATTACTTTCACAACTATGACGCCAATTGTTGTTAGAAAAGGGTAAAAAAGGATAAATACACGTAAAATTTTAATATACTTCAATGCTTAAAAAACTTTTTGCAACTCATCGCTATTATATTTGGATAAACAATACAACTGTATATGTATTTACGAGTGGATTGTATATTACACTTTATTTATAAAAAGAATAAATTAATAATTATCTCTTTTAGATAATGAGTTATTTTTGGAGAGTTGAAAATATTTGGATAATTAAAAATGTTATTTTATTCGTAGGTTAATTTATAGTTGGGTGTTATCATTGGAAAAAGAAAATTATTATTATATTCAACCTATTAATACTTTTCCTAGTAATAATTAACTATTGAAAGGGATACATTTAATGTAGAATTAGAGAGAGGGAGATAGGAAGAGAGAGAGAGAGAGAGAAAGAAAAGAGAATAATAAAAATCGTGCTTTAAAGAAATTGAACTAACATTCTGTTTCTTATAAAATGTATACCAGTTAGTTTTATGTAAATATATGATTTAAATATTTATTTATTTAACAATATACTTAACATAAGTACAATATATACAATTTATATATAAATAATTAATTTAAGCTAATTAAAATTAATTAATATTACATAAATGATTTTCTCGTGTCTTTTAATATACATGTGCTACTTTCTTTTTCAGCTCAGTCAAAAAATATTTCTAATTGGCCTAACTTCATTCGTAATAATTGGAAATACTTTTCTCTTAATTGCTATTTATCTCTCGCCTAATAGAAGTTCTAGAATGAGTTATTTCATTACGATGCTAGCTATAGCGGGTATATATAAAGAAAAGATTGATTAATATAATATTCTTTATTTTGGATAAATAGGAAATATTGATATATAATTTATTTTTGGTAGATTTAACAGTTGGTTGCATATCCGTAACGACTGACACAGTTTGGAAATTTACGACTGCATGGTATGGAGGATTAGTAGCTTGTAAAGTCATAAGATATTTTCAAGTGAGTTTATTTCTTTTTTAAAGTAACAATAGCTATGTACCGGAAATTAAATAGATACATTCTGTCACCAAAGCTAAAATTAGCTTCACTAGCATATTTCGTGTTTAAAAATAGCTGCAAAGGAGAAAAAACTATTGAATAAAGTTATATTGTTCTTTCGTATAATATGTAAAATATGTAACTAATTAGCTCTATTTGTAAATAACTCTGTAGACACACAGTTGTGATTCTTTGATACTTTTATAAACAGTATATATATAAATTTATATATATTACATATAGATATACATAGTGTCTTCTTGTAGAAAATAAATGCTTTAAATCTTGTACTTAAAAAGAAGGGATTGAAGAATTGAGGTCAAGTAATGATGATATTAACCATAAAAGTCAGGTGCTAATTATTCTAAATCTATTGATTGGTGCGACCTTAGTATGCAGGAAGAAAGTAACAGCAAATAGCCAAGGGAAATCAACTTTTCGATAGTAGACAATTAACCTTCGTAATAGCTTATATACATAATAGCATCCAACATCTAAAGACAACATTAGTAATTTTAAGGGTTATTACTACAGATTTAAAATAAAATCCAATCACTCTTTACTCAACTTAATGTAATAGTCGAATATTTTCTACTCAGATAAGGAAAAGTCACATAATTCTATATTTCTAAAAATATCACATTCGTGGAAAAGCAAACAGATTATTATTTTTTTTAAGTACATGTAAAATAAAGAATGATACATTTAGAAATGAAATTTATCCCAGATTAATACTATATGATATATAGTATATATGAAATATCATATTATGAAGTGTATACATATATTGTACATACAATATATATACAGTCATGTATACTTATGTTGCAAGAATAAACGAAATTACTTGGAAAGAGTAAAAATTTAAAGGAAATTAGCTTGTTTTTAATCAATGAGCCTTTCAAGCAAAAAGAAGCTTAGAATAAAGAATTTCTCTGTTTTTAGAATACAGAGTAATTAATGAATTTATATGATGTATATTTATACATTTGTATAGTTTTATATATACTAATAGATATAAATTTATGTATTGCTATATAAAGATCTTTGTTTTTACTCGAA